CGCGAAGTTCCTATTTTTAACGTTTTCATTCTTGCAAACGAAGTCCTGCGAAACTTCTGCAAATATGGCTAGTCCTGCGGAAGTTCCGGTGAATTGTCTGAGATGTTGATTTGAAACTGGCATCACAGACTTTTGCGGGAAGTGCTAGATGCTTCAACTCCAGTAGCCATTGACAATCTGTTAGAATACCCTTCGGTTATAACGAAAGTATATTATTATCTAACGCTAAAGATCATATCAAGCTTCGGTGGTACCAATCTTCAGTTGTCCATATATTTCCTTTTGTTCGTTCTTTTCTTTTTGTAAATCTTTATAATTATTCCAGGTGATCCACGGCTCAAGTGCGACAATATGGAGAGAAATAACTTCGTAAATGGGCTACTTTCCAAGATTGCGGTTAGAGAGAAAGTTGTGATAATGGGACATAGTAGAGGGACGGAAAACGCCGCGAATGTTGCGGCGTGGAATAAGGTAGGTGTGGCTTGCCTGCTATATATTTATCTTACTTATTTGTTCTTTACGCTAAAATGCACCAAATAAAAGAGGAATTTGTTGCGCTCATTCTTATTTGAAATTTCTATAATTTTTTTCTGAAGGAGAAACTCTCTGGTCTGGTACTAGTGAATCCTACTGGTCTCCAGTTACACAAAGGAATGCGACCTTTTTGGGGAATTAAACTGATTCTGAGATTATATTCCTTGGGATCTATAGCACAGCTAATGATAAATCCTATCATGAAGTACCGTGAGTGTTTTTCGTTACCTACTTTACGTTAACTAACGCATTTTTAATGCTAGCTAGCCTATATATGTTCTAGTATACAACAATGTCCTCGGACTGCGGCTCGATAGTGGTGAGAGAGCAATGATGTGTTTGCGAACCATGTACAATCTTGAATACGAAAAAGCAATGAGGCCAAGTATAGATACCATCAATGTTGCTAAAAATGTGAGGGAGTTCCTGTCTGTTTGAACGATTAGCACGTTTACACAAACCAGTGAATCCTGTTTTGTTGCAGGTCCGCGTGCTTATTCTTTATTCCGGTAAAGACCCACTTATCGAAGAGACGATCCCTCGAGGGTTGGCGAACTCATTTCTCGATCACAAAGAATTGGTAACTCTCTAAATTTTGTAGTTCTACAGGGTGTCCCAAAAAAATATATATCGATTGTTTGGTCGTTAATAACTCCTTTGCCACAGTGTCTTTCGAGAAGCT